TACATTTTCATTGAATATAAGAATAAGGAAAGTTGTGGTGACCGGTGCCTCACTAATCTTGTGGCGTTCGGTATTCGATATGTTCATAGACTTTGTATGCTGCTCGTCCAGCCAACCGTTACTAAGTAACGCTTCATGGTTTTATAAATCAAAATAGGAATACGAGGTGTTGAATAAGTTTATTTGGCGCACCACAAAGTAGACCACCAAAGCTCAGGCACACAAAGCAAAAATAATACGCGAGTGCCGAAAGAGCAAGCAGGTTGAATGAACGAGTTAGCGAATGAGTGAATAAGATAAAATGTACCAGTATACACATCGGAAAATGAATAGGTCATCGAAATATTTACGAGGCTAGTATTAAAGCTAATAGGATGAATATGCACGTTGGCAGTAATCAATGTTCAATCATACCTGCTCATACAAACCCAACAATAATAAAAGTACAATGGTACAGATAAATTATTACTATACAAATGACTCAGGTAAATAAGTTAATCAAAAGATCTAACCAAATTAAATATGAACAAACTTAAATGTATGTGATGGTACTACAAGCTGTTTTACGATATAGTGATCTAATTTTTATTCCCCTTACTATCTGAATCTCGTTCCTATTGATTTACTTACTTGGATAATGTTTCCTGGTTAGCGTTTTTGTAGTGAGTTAGATTTTTACTGGGTGGGGCCGCCAACCCCATGCCCAACCCTCTTCCTTTATTTTGGCTTGGGGCCAGTAGTATCCACATAGAGGCTCCAGGTGGAGTTAATTGATTTATACAGTTCTAATAATCATACTTAGTGTCATACGAAGGTGGATCAAATACTAATTTTAAAATCGAATATTTTGATAACCATTCGAGAAATAAGTTTGTTGTAGTTTTATTAGCGATTATTCCAATACTTTGTTTATGAACGTCTTGCACACTATTTTAATCACATTCGGCTTTTTAGATACGTAGTTCTGTAGTTTGAAAACTACTGAAGGATTTTCAATGCATCATTACTTTGGTTTGTGTTTAATGACAAATATTCAATCAACACGTTGATCGGTATATGATCAACAACTAAGTGTATTTGTTACTGACAATTTTTGTGGTTAACGTTATTAGGACATCAACTACAAAACCAGTTGCTCCATCTAGAGCTCTTAGAGTTATTGAAAGTCTTGGATAATAGATGAAGGTTGGGCACTGAATTAGCGATCCTTGGAAGTCGAAATATGTTCAGCAGAAGAGATTAGTTTTTAAACAAGTGCTGCTGTTGTCTGGTTATGAAGAACTTCAATCATGGAGTGGAAAGTGCTAAAATATTCGTTCATTTTTAGATAGTAGGACAAAAAATTAGAGTATGGCTCACGGTGCCAAAGATGAAGGTGTACACTGTAAGCGCAGGCCAAGAACGTATCATAGTGGTAAAGTCATTTTCAAATAATAACAAACAGTTTCCGAAGCGAAGTTAATCAGTGTTAGCTATGCGACTTGTAGTAATTTATATAAGAGATACTGTGAAATCATTTGTTTTACTCATTAACTTTCTAAATAAAAGACTTGATATATAAAGTAACCTTAATGTGTAGTTCTACAAATAAATCCAAACGTAAGCTAATCTTTATTCCTGAAAGATATTACATCTGGTTTCTTATTTTTGAAATTATTGTAGAGTTAAAAAAGTGAAAAATATTTTCATCTACCCTGGTGTTTCCCATTACTCGTCATCAGGCAGCTGCTATAAATAGGTATTTCATGGTAAGAATTTCTATCGTAATTACGCTGTGGTGGCCAATGACTCACTAATTTCGTGACGGTCGGTATCCAACGTGTTCTCAGACTTCGTAATTTGCTCGTCCAGACAAAAGTTCCTAAATAGCGCCTGATGGTATATAAAACAGAAGGCGAATACCAACTGTTGAATACGTTTATTCGGCACACCACAAATAGACCAGTAGACTACAAGCACATGGAGCGAAAGGCAAGCAAGCTAGCGAGTGAACGAATTGGCGAATTAATTAATAGGATTAAAATGCACATATTCATACATTGGGAAATGGGTGTCATTGAAATATTTAAGAATTTAATAGTGAAGCGAGTAGGATCGATATTCGCGCATGAGGTTGTAGTGGTATACTTTTACGAAGAAAACACAATTTCTGAAGTATAAACATTTATTATTGTCCTTAATTCTGACATTAATTTTTTCAAGGCACTCCTTTTTTTTACCTGTACTGAAGACTATCTCTCGCGCGCCAAGCGTGTTTTTCCCATTCTGTTTCTCCGCGCTTCTCGTACCTGGTCGTTAGCCGCTTGTGTATCCTTTGGCCTTGATATTATTTCAATATCGTGAGGCTAACAATAAATATACTCCTTCATCTAGAATTGTCTTTTCTCTGATTTCTAGATTAACGGGATTAACATTTGTTATCACGCGAAGCTGTGTGTTTATTCGGTACTACAATGCGTTAGGCAGGGTTCAGGCATACCAGCTCATACAAACCAAAAAATAGTAAAAGCCAATGCTACATATCATTTGTTGCTATACAAATGGCTTGATTAGATAAGTTAATCAAAAGGCCTTACTAAATTAGATTTGAGCGAACTCCAATGTATATGGAGGTACTGCAATGCCGTATGAGGTACATTAAAGTCATACTCTGGATATGTATTCAGAGTGCAACATAATGGTACTGTATTCATATTTGACAGAAGAAACATTCTGGGCCTGTTGAACATCAGCGGTGAACTCTTGGATTAACTCATATGGGGTCTTGTACGACTTGAAACACTGCATATCAGTGTCATTCTCACGAGTGAACCAGATGTGATTTAGTATTCTAAGTGATGCTGACTGAATCTGTCGCTTGTAGTTAAGTTACATGTCTTTATATTCGACGTAGTGTATAGATTTTTGTTTTTTCTCGTGCATACATATATTTCACTCTCATTACGTCTAAATGGTACAACTTATACTACTTAATGCGTCTCTACCTCCACTCTGCTAATCATGTCACTCTGTCTTTACAACATCAAGGCTTGGCTCTGACATTCAGATACTGACACACACAAAAACGATGTAGTTGACATACCTACTCACTTAAAGGCATTAGAGGAGGCACAGCCACACGGATTCGGCAGGTAAATCAAACCCAATATGTTCACTGGCACTTTTCTCAGACCTTACGAGACTTCTAAAATTACTGTCCTTAAATGTAAAAAACTAACTGATAGACAAAGTTTATACGAAAAGTTATACGACTTCGAATTAGGACACCACATGGCAATAAAAACGTTACATATTTGAGAGGTTGTTGGTCATCGAGCTTTCGACTAAGGCTCTCCAGACAACTAGCCTAAATCAAGTTTGTTTAGTTAATACGATCGATTTTCATTTCACGCTGACAGGACATAGTTTTTGAACTAGCCTTATTTGGAAACCAGATTCTGAAGATCGCAAGAGCCTCAGATCAGTGGCTCCTTTCGTCAGTAGAACTTCTCACATGAATGGAAATGAAGTAATAGATCTTCTAAATATTTTCTTTCATTTTCTTAACCTTCGTAGCACTTCACCATTTGTTCATTATACTAACATTTATCGATATCCGTTTAAATTATTCGATAATAGTATCGACCATTCTTTATATTCCTAATGGTTCGACAACAGTAATGATTACTGTATATTTGATTTTAGCTTGTTACATGTCAAGCAAAACATTTGCGAACAGTTTTCGTTGTTGGTACAAAAACAGCTACTGCAATCAGACAAGAAATTACAGAGACCGTACAGTTTTGTCGAACCCAAGCCCGTCACTGAAACACACCTTTCGGAGAAAATCTGACATCACAGGTGGTAATGAAAACTGTATGGTGGACATAAGCATCAATTTTACATCACTGATGTGATAAGGGTTTATTATCTTATTGTGGCTAGCGCAAAAGTTTTCACCATTCTCACAAATACTAACTATTGTCTGTCAGACCCTGTCTTCAGTCTACAGGATGAAAGCAGAAAACGTCAGTCGCCGTTCACGATAAAAAGCACGTCTGCCGTGACGAAGGTTTTGTAGATGCCTCCACTGAATCTTAGATGTATCAACACTAACCATCGACGCAGAATTTTCGGCCATAGCATACTCATCGACTCAAGCGAAAGGTGAGCAGGTGGAAACATTGTCATTAGTTTGCTGAGATTCTAAGTTTACAGCAACCACAACCATATGCACTCCTAGGCTATACATTGTGGATCCCCTAAATTTTGAAAGCTACAACCGGATTCTTACCATGTGTAACTAGTCATGTTACATATGATTACGTATATTCTCTAGAGCGTGTCAGCTAGCTCTCAAAAACCTAAGATGGACTGAGAACTATAAGGTACTTAGGTTTGATAATTATCCACAACCCTTACCGTTACCCATTGCTTCAAATCTATGACTTGACAGCTTTTTTGGAATGTTTGACTGTCTTTCTTAAAATCGTCCTGGGTTAAGATGTATTGCCGAATACCTCTTGCTGTGGAAGGCATTCTTAACACGGCTCAGGCTAATCAGTTTTCGTGGATGTTTTTTGTTTAGAAAAATGCCGCCTAAACTTCCCAATGACTCAGAAGTTTCAGCTTTGTGCATAATTATGTTGATGATTGTCAGACTGCGTGTCCGAACGTAGAATACTGCCTAAAAGAACCTAGGTATTATGTTCTAGCGACTCCAAAGAACTGCACTACTGCAGATCCACTGTTCATAACTGACTGCCCGTCATCTTTGAGACTTTTATCGGACTAGCCCTATGAAATCAACAATTAAGATGATAGTGCGAAACAGGAATCGTCATAAAGAAGAAATGTATCATCAAATAAGTCATGATTTTCTCAGTAGACGTACCTAATTCGACATTCGACGTCGTAACGCAGTAGACAAACGAAACCTACCAACTATCGATATTCTTACTGAGGTAGTTATAAAAAGTGACACAGATACTGCTAATTTATCTAAGCACTTTAGAGCGCGACCTGACCTTGAATATGGGCGTTAATATGAAAGGCAAACGCACGACCAAGTTGCGTGGTAAAGTATGACCTTGTTTTGTGATAAATACATAAGTAGAAACAAAGTAAGAAGCAGGAAGTTGATGAGGAAATAGAGTCCGAAAGTGGAGCTAGTTCGTAAGCGCTCTGTCTTAACTGGTCTCTAACTTTTCAGCATTGAATCTGGAACGGAGTCTGATATTTCAGTACATGAAACTGCTCATGAAAAGAAAGTACGACTCACAAAGAAAGCTATTCAAAAAGCACTTGAGACAGGTAATTTTCTTATTCCATTTTTCATTTTCTCAGTTGGTTCGGATGATGAAAAGTACGAAGAACTTTCTCTGCGTCTCAAAGAAGAGGCATTGCAGGCAAAAGGAAAGTTTTTAGCGAAGTTCGCCCATCAGGTTAGTTTATAATTAAATAAGTTCTATAGTCCAGATTAAATGCTTGGATAAGGAGGGAATCATACTGCTTAAAGGTCATAGAAAATCTGTCTCATGTGTCTGTATTTCTGAAGATGCAAAATATGCCTATACTGGGGGAAGAGATTCTTCTGTAATTAAATGTAAGTTGTTCATCGACATAACAAAATGCTTTAGGGGATCTAAGCACTATGAAAAAGTTGTTTACTATGCCTGGAGGGAAACGCGGAACCAAATATCCTTATCATACGGGTCCAGTTCTCTCCATCTCTTTATCTAGTGATAATAAATATTTGGTAAGCCAAGGTTTGTTTGAATCCGAATTGGTGTTGTAGAAATTCTCGCTTGAGTAATGGATGCTAGGTGACGAATCTGTATCCGATATTGCTTGTTTGATTGTTCAGATTTGGGTTACACTCGATGTCTACTCATACAGCCAGTTAGCTTGTCGTTTAGAATTTAACTATAGCTCATTCCCATGGATTTATTTTCTCAAAATCTGACATGAATCGCTTATAACTTAAATTGTGTTTTTCTTTTATTTTGATAGCAATTAGCAGTAGACCTTTATTGTCTCAGACAATCTCCTGTGGATCTACCATGTTTTTGTCTAAAAGCAACTTCTAAAAATCCTTATAACGCGTGCTTTAAAGTTCCCCATCCGTTTTCAACTATAATTCTTGATTCCTGTCTGCTACAATAATATCTATTGAGGTATGGTGTGTGTGGAGATACCCAAGGATTAAAACTAAGAGGAAACGAGAAAGTAATGTAGGTTAATGCACAGTTATTTAAACTATGGTTAAAATAACAAGAACAATAAAGTCGAAAAACAACGGAATACGTCAGGTAGAAAGCTATGTGAGGTATTCATCTTCATCCACGTCACTAAAATATCTGCAAATTGTTACTAGTTACGTTATGTCCATCGTTTACACTGTAGATTCTAGATTTGAATCCATCATACAATTTTGATTCATGCCCTTGAACTAATCCTGTATGAAGCTTTTAAGCTACCCATTATAGTATTTTTTTACTGGAACTAATTTTGGCCCTTTTATTTTACAGTCTTTTCTGATCGGTTTTAATTTGTATCCCAAACATGAAAGCTTATACGTAGGTCGAAATGTAACCGTATTCTACGTCAATGTTTTCATTGACTGAATCGCTGTTCGCCACGTTTTTCCCTATTAGTTCAGAAAGCATCATTAATTAGTGACGATTTCAGATGTATGACATACTCAACTCAGCAAAAAAGGTTTATTACCTAAACGGTTAATTTTTTGATTATTAGCTCCGCTCTTGAAAGCTCTTAATGGGCACCCTTACCGCCGGAAACGTAAATGCGTGAGGTAGGGTGAGGTGTGACATTTTTAGGGTCGACCTTTTCTAACCCTTCCTTCCTTGTGAGAAGGCAGCATCGCTGCAGATGCTGGTTGTCCGATGGAAACACCTTACTGCTGTCACACCCCTCCACAGTCAGTCAGCAGTACGACTTCGCCCTCAGACCTTGAGTAGCTGCTTTTAGTCTGATCGTTCTCCAATCGACCTGCCTGGCATGGTATAACCTTCAGGAACATGTGTTCCAGCAGAATAGCTCGGCTGGGTCATCACGATAGTCAAGCCCGACCACCACGTCAAGGTAGCAGTTACGGTCGGGGTCTGGTGGGTACCAGTCTCAAGTATACCTTAGGCATGTGGATAATTCGTTTGTGGTCACAGATTTAAACTTTATTTTTTATACTCAATTTACTTCTAGGAAATTATTAAAGTCGACCATAAAGATCTATTTCAGCAACAAACACCCTAAGTATCAATCAGTCAGCAACAAGGTAGAACTTCGTACATCAGTTCAAGTTTCCATACCACATTAGCACATTGATGCAATTGTCACTTCAAATCCCATGGTGGTAGAGGTAGTAGAAGTATTAGCGTTAATCAAAAAAATTAGGGTTCGAAGATATTATTCAATAAGTATAGTCCAGTGAAATAAACTTAAAAAGAAAATGGCGACGAGGAATTCAGAGGATTAGAATTTGAGCGAACACAAAGAGTGGATGCATCTGTTCCATTGCTAACGATTTTGGGCCATGTCATTCAAAGTCTGTAACCATCGGTTACCATCGTCTCGTGGACCCCAACCAGGTGGTCTACATCTACCAACATGACTCAGTCCACTTGCTAGTGATTTCATGGATTTGTGTCATGTTTTGTTTCGGTCGCCACCCTAGATATCGTATTAAACGATTTAAAACATGTTATCAGTACATGAATTTTGTGGTAAAACCAAACCAATTTTATCATATTCTTTATGTAAATCTGCAAACAAGTTTCCTTATTATATAATTTACTACGTAGCTACGTTATATCTGCACATCTAACAAATCCATTATAATGTTTTATCACTTGTTTGAGAATGAGTTGTAGTATTATACAACCCTACCTCTACTGCAATGGGATTGGAATTGACAATTTGATTTCTTTGTGCTAATGTGGTTTGGCAACTCGAACTGATGTACGTACGTACGTAAGAAGTTCTACGTTGTAGCTGACTGACCGATTTCTAAAACGTCATACACCAACTTTTATCCATCTACCATATCTCTTTTAGGCTTCCTCCAGTATGGATCATTCTGTTATCATATGGAACCCAAAAGAGATGGAAGTTTTCATGAAACTATTGCACCATAAAGTACCAGTTACAGTAAGTATCACGTTGTTTTTATCATCATCTTATTATTCAGGCTGTTAGTTTTAGATATCATTCACACATGTTATTTACAGCAGATTGTTCTGGTCGTGTTTGTGTTTGGAATATGCCTTTAAAACAAGTTTTACAAGATCAAGGGTAAGTGTTGAATATTTTTCAAATATTCAATTTTATATTTTCTATTTTTTCACCACAATGTGCCCGTTGTTTTGTGAAATTACTAATCAATACAAATTCAAGCGGTTCCATAGTAGTTTATTGAGTTATATGTATGTATCGTGCTTCAAGCTTAAGAACAAGGTGGATATATTTTTGACTGAAAAACAGGCAGTGTAATAGTGTTATTGTCGACTATAACCATTAATCCAGTTATATTTGAAATGGCTTGAATTATCCCGTTGTTGTTATGTTGATTGAAATTTGATCAGGACGAGTGTACTGTACAGCGTTTCGCTCCGTACTACTATGCGGATGCGAAGCATGGCCGGTGAGAGTAGAGGACATTCGTAGATTGCTTGTCTTCGATCATAGACGTATCCGAAGCATTGCTCTTATATCCTGGGACAACCGATTAAGCAATGTCTTTCAAGATCTCTAACCATCGGTTGCTATTGTCTCGCGGAGTTCAACCTGGTAGTCCACACCTACTTTCATGGCTCAGTCTAGTTATCAGTTGTCATACCACATTAGCACAGAGACGCAAATGCCAAATAAAATCCCATAGTGATAAATATAGTAGATGTATTAATGGTAATGAAGAAGACTAGGGTTTGAAGATATTATTCAAGAAGTATAATTCAGTGCGATAAGGTTAGAAAGACAAAGGTAGAGGTGCTGACGAATCCAGAAGACTAGGATTTGAGAGCTCAAAGAATGGATGCACTTGTGCCATTGCGAACGACTTTGAGCCATGTCATTCAAGGTCTCTAACCATTGATGACTTTCGTCTCACGGACCCCAACCAGATAGCCTCAATCTACCAACATGAATCAGTCCACTTGTCAATGATTTCATGCATTGCTGCCAGGTTTTGGTTTGGCCGCCCCTAGCTTTCTTCCAATCTACTTCTACACTGCAAAACATAGCTCGTCGAGGCAGTCGGTGGTTAGGCATACGTAGTTGAGCACACGTAACACTTGTCTTAACTACCTCAACTGATGAAGATTCACTACTTCATCTACTGATCTGCCATCCTTACCTAGTATCCGTTTCCTCACAACAGTATAATCTTAGATACTATGTTGCGATGTCAGCCAATTAGCTGACACATGTTTGAATGACATTAGGAGCATCAGTTCCTCCTATTTCACATGTTTACTGTGCTGATGAGTGTCAACCAGCAGGAAACGTTGGTCCAGGGTTTTCTATTGACCCCATTCAAAAACGTAACTGCTAGACAATGTATTTTACTGTTTGTCGATTTCAGAGCTTGTCGCATTAGGTAATAGGTAACATTTACACAAGCAATGATTACGTTTGTAAAACTCAAGTTATTTCGCGCGATTTATTGTGAACCTGGGTAAAATCCTTCTTTCGTAATGGCTATTTAGATTTTCCTGGTAATAATGGGCTCATATTTTTTAAAACGTCTTTACCATTGGTTTCATGATTTGTATTATTATTGCCAAAATTGTAGTATCCGTTAAAATTTTGTGATATTAATCAATCATAATTTCTTCGCAGTTTACATTGATTGATTCTTATTTTTTAATACACAGAGCAAGAACAAATATTGAAGTTTTAGGATTATGTGGTCTAGTATCTGAACGATGTGTTTCATGCTCTGGGTTCGGTGGTCCTGGTGTGTGTGTTTGGAAAGTTCCAGAAGAAATCTGTGTACAGTATAGCACAAAAAACACATTAGAGTGAGTTTCAATATATCTATTTGTTAATCATTTTTTCTGTTGTTGAACTTTTGCCTTACTCTGTATTTAATTTTGAATATTATTGTTTTATTAATTAATTACAGAAGTTCGGTAGAATGCATTTATGCAGTGAATGATGAAATTTTCATTGGAGGTTCTTCTACAAAGTAAGTTTTATCTGTTCTGAATGTCCACTTTCTCCATTTTTGTTCAATTTTATCATAGACATGCTCCTAGAAATAACCTTATGCTCGTCTGAATTTTCAGGAGTAGACCTTTTACCAGGTGGCTCGCTTGTTGACTTAGAATATGCCGATGACATAGTCCTACTTGGTGAAGACGCTGACAAAATGCAGAGTCTTCTGACTACCCTAAGCAACAATGCAAGCATGTTCGGGATGCGGTTTTTCCCCTCAAAATGCAAAATGTTGCTTCAGGACTGGGTTTCATCGGCACCTGAACTAGTGATAGGGAGTGAAGTAGTCGAACGTGTAGACCGCTTCACTTATCTTGGGAGTCTCATGAGTGCCGATAGCATGGTGACTGACGAAATCTCAGCTCGGATACAGAAGGCTCGATTGGCTTTTGCCAACCTGTGTCACCTATTACATAGACGAGAAACCAGTTTGCTAACCAAATGACGAGTGTACTGCGCAGTAGTTCGCTCCGTCCTAGTTTATGGCTGTGAAACATGACCAGTCGGAGTGGAAGATATTCGTAGGTTACTGGTTTTCGATCATAGGTGTCTCTCCGAACCATTGCTCGTGTATCCTGGGATAATCAAGTGAGGAATACTGTCGTTAGGATACGAGTACTAGGTAGGGATGACAAGTTAGTAGATTAAGTATGTAAAGTCTACCAGTTGAGATGGTTGGGACATGTGTTGCGCATGCCTAACCACCGACTGCCGCGACGAGCTTTGTTTTGTAGTGTAGGAGTAGGCTGGAAGAAAGTTAAGGGCGGCCAAACCAAAACATGGCAGAAATCCATGAAGTCATTGACAAGTGGACTGAGTCATGTCGGTAGTTGTCGACTACCTGGTTTGGTGTCCGCGAGGTGATAATAATCGATGGTTAGAGACCCTGAATGACATGGCTCAAAACCGTTTGCAATGGCGCAGGTGCATGCATTCTCTGTGTTCTCTCAAATCCTAATCTTCTGGATTCTTCAACCCCTCTAGTTTTGTCTTTCTTAACTTTTCTCATTGAATCATACTTCTTGAATAATATCTTCTAATCCTAATAACCTCTGCGATTACTTGTAATACCTTAACTACCTCTTCTACTATTGGATTTGAATTGACAATTACATCTCTGTGCTGATCTGGTATGGCGACATGAACTGATGTACTTACGTACGAAGTTCTACGTTGCATCTGACTGACTGACTTTATCTGTTCTATCGAGTACTTTTTTTTATCACAGTCCCTTTATTCATTTATAAATTTAATTCTGTTTGTTGCTTATTTTAGTACAATTTATATTTGGCATTCAAGTAGAGGTAGTCCTGTATATACTGTTTCTCCTGCTCATCCTGTGGCTAAATTATGTCCACCCTCGGAATCAGAGCCATTTATTCGACCAGTTGCAAATTGGGTCTCTGCAATTACTGGTCTCTATGGCACTGATCTGATTGCTTCAGGTTCTTCAACTGGGCATATCCAATTTTGGCGACTTGTTCAACCACAAACAGAACGTTCCAGTGAGGCTAATAAAGTGCAACAACAACTACGGACACAAGTCAGTATTGAACGTATACCTGGTTTGAGTATTTCATTGGTAAGTTATATATATTCTTATTCTATTATTCTATAACTCTAAGATCTTTTTAATAGTTCTAGTTTTAATTTTGTAAAACTTGACTGAAATGTTAAATTTTCATTGACTACGGTTGTGAGAACACATTACGTATGTTCACAATTAGGATAGAAACTAGAGACACCTAAAACAAGGTGAAATATCAGTTTATGAAGTCATTGACTTTGGACTGTGTCTTGTAGGTAAGTCCCAACTACACTTGGTTGGGGTCCCAGTGATTGTCATAACTAGTAGGTATGGCGTTGTGTGACACTGCTCAAAATTGGTTGCAATAGCGACCGAAGCTGCTACTTTGACGTGGTGGTCGGGCTTCAATATCGTGATGACCCAACCGAGCTATACTGGCTGGAACATATGTTCCTGCAGGTCCTACCATGCCAGGCAGGCCGATTGGAGAACGATGAGACTAAAAGCAGCTACGCAAGGTCTGAGGGCGAAGTCGTACTGCTGACTGCAGAGGGGTGTGACAGCAATAAGGTGTTTCCCTCGGAAAACCAGCATCTGCAGCGATGCTGCCTTCTCACAAGGAAGGAAGGGTTAGAAAAGGTCGACCCTAAAAATTTCACACCTCACCCTATCTCACGGATTTCCGTCTCCTTGGGTAAGGGTGCCCACTAAGGGCCTTTAAGAACGGAGCTAATCCTCAAACAACGTCTCATAAAAAGGCCGTGCGTGACCGGCCTCAAGCAGTTGTCCCTTGGACCCTGCGGTCACGCACCAACACTAATCCATCTTTCTTTTCAGGTTCGTCAAGAAACAACCTTCCACGGTGTAGGCAGCCGGGAAGTGATAACCGCCCTCATACCCGTAATAGCACACGAGACCAAATTGGTCAAAATCAAATCCTTCCTACATTCCCTAATACCTCTCTTATCTCCACAACTAACTCTTCTCACATTCATTTATTACAGTGCACAGCTAATGCAAACGATGCGAGTTTGCGAAACGTCGTTCCTGGTCTCCTTAAACCCCGTTCCAAACTACATGTTGGAGCATTCAATGTACGGACATTGTGTCAAATAGGGCAACAGGCATCATTATCTAGGACTTTAGAATCTCGTTCCATCGATGTGTGCTGCGTCTCGGAAACGCGCATACAGGATCCGAGTAGCATCACTCATTTGACCTCACCATGTCAAGATAAAGAAGCAGCTCGATTTACCCTTCGTGTATCCGGTAGCCCTGATGCTGCTTCTAGGGGCCTCGCCGGTGTAGGTATAGCATTGAGTCGTAGGGCAGAACAATCTCTCCTTGACTGGATCCCTGTAGATAGTCGCTTGTGCGCCGTCCGACTCAACGGGACAGTAAGGACTCGGAAAGATAGGGACACTCGCCGTTGCCTCTTCGTCATATCAGCCTACGCCCCCACTGACTGCAGCCCAGATGATGTAAAAGATGGGTTTTACAGAAAGCTTTCGGACCTCCTCCAAAAAGTTAAGCGCTCTGATATAGTTATAATGGCTGGTGACTTCAATGCACAAGTAGGTAGACTAAGTGAAAATGAAAGACACCTAGGTGGATGTTACGGTCTCGCGGCTCAAAGAACAGACAATGGCGACCGTCTGTTGCAAATGTGCTCAGATAACCAACTATTTCTAGCAAACACTAATTTTAAGCATAAGGAAAAACATCTTTTGACCTGGCGACCCCCGAAGTCGTCTCAACGTTGGACACAACTAGATCATATCGCCATCAGCCACCGATGGAGGGGTTCGATAGAGGACTGTCGCTCGTTCTGGTGCACATGTTTAGATTCAGATCATGCCCTAGTGCGAGCACGTATTTGTTTGAGGCTTGCTGGACGTAGGAAAGACACCGTAAGCAAGCCTCTTGGGGCTTCACTTCATGATAATCAAGCTGATATGTTCGTCACTTAGGATGCTTGAGGCTATTACGAGTTTACCTTAGTCGATAAACGCGAACGAGACTTTTACCAGCTTCCAGGAAAGCTACCTTGAATCCAAACGGTAAAACAGAAGTCTTGGTAAGCGTTGAAAGTATATTCTACAAGCACCCAGCAATCCCAGTACAATCAAGCATACAACTCTCGTTTATTTATACAACATAACAACGTCCTTGAGACAGTTAAGAAAATAGCATACTAAAATACACAGCAGCCAATCACAGCCATTGATTTTCCTGGTGGGAATTGAAATCTCAAGGTCATTTGATCAGCCCCTGCTGGTGAACGTGAAAACCGAAATACGGCATTATCAAGCGAATTTTGGGGATCTAACATCCCCAACACTCCTCCCCTTTTTAATAGCGTGTTCTCCTGTGGTTGACTTGCATCTTGACTATTGTTCGCCGCTGTCTGAGTGGATACCTTCGGGAACGAAGAACAGCTTGCTGCTGAGTTTCTTCTCGTGGCGGGGCTCTCGGTAGGTTGAAGGTATCAAGCAAGATGTCAAGGGGAAGGCTTTCTGCTCTTGATGGGCGATCTGGGGCTAGCCGTCTGCGTATCTGATTGCGATGACGTGACCATTTATCACCTCCTACCTCTACTTCGTACATAACTCGACCAACCCTTCTGACCACTCTCGCTTCTACCCAAGGACCATGGTTCGTTCTGTAGTCGCGGGCAAACACAGGGCATCCTACTTCGTAAGCGGATTGTCTTTGCTGCTTTGTCTCTACTGATGAAGGTGCATTGGTCGGATGCATCAGGCTGTGAATCGTTTTCAATCTTCTTCCCATCAGGATTTCAGCTGGGGACTTTTGCTCCGGTAACAATTCATTTGGTGTTGTCCGATAGACGTACAAGAAATTTTGTAACGTTTCGGCTGGCGTCCCCTCCCCTTTTGACTTGAGCAGTGCTCTTTTAAACGTATCCACAAACCTTTCCGCCTGCCCATTCGATTGCGGGTGGTATGGTGGCGAGCGTAAGTGTTTAATAGCTAGCCGTTGACAGAAACTCTGGAATTGGGAAGAGGTGAATTGAGAGCCATTGTCGGATACGATCACATCTGGTATGCCATTCCGTGAGAAAATTTCAGTTAGGAGCTGTATAGTCTTAGTTGTAGTGGGCGGCATAACGGGGCTGATTTCCGGCCATTTAGAAAAGGCGTCGACGACAATTAAATACATAGTTCCATTTATTGGGCCAGCGAAGTCGACATGTATCCTGGACCAAGGATGCTCAGGTTTGGGCCATGAAACCGGAGGAATTTTGGCATTCATCTTTGCCGCCTGTTGACACCGCATGCATTTTTCAACCAACGCTGTGACATGTTGATCCATGTGAGGCCAGTATGCATAACTTCTGGCTATGGACTTCATTCGTTCAATCCCAGGATGACCAAGATGGAACTGTCTCAGCACTTTTGCACGAAGGGATGCTGGCACCACTACTCTTTCACCAAACATCAGACAATCGTTGACGATGCATAGTGACTCCCGCCGCTGATACAGTTGCTTCATGTCACCTTCAAACTTTTTCGACAGCCACCCGTTAGTGTTATATTTCATCGTCATCTTGATGATGGGGTCGTTTCTAGAAGCATTTTGTATGTCTGTTGCAGACACCGGTAATGCACGAACTGCGGTTGTCAGATAACATTCTGCGTGGTCTTCTACTGACAGAGATGCGATCACCATGTTTTCCTCAGCCGCCACTTGATCATTAATGAGTCGTGACAAAGCGTCTGCTTGACCGAATTGTAGAGTACGTCGATATTGGATTTCGAAATCATACCCCAAAAGTACCAAGGCCCATCGCTGAAGACGATTTGCAGAATGGGCTGGAATGCCGGACTTTGAACCAAATATTGCTAAGAGAGGCTTGTGATCTGTGAGGAGCGTGAATCTCCGACCGTACAGAAACTTATGGAAACGGCGAACAGCAAACACAAGGGCAAGAGCTTCTTTCTCTATCTGGCTATACTTCTTTTCTGCTGGGGTCAGTGTACGGGATGCATGCATAACGGCTTTTTCTGACGCGTCTGGAAATTGATGTGAAATAACAGCACCTAGGCCATATGCTGAAGCGTCTGCTGCTACGATGATCGGCATGGATGGATCGTAGTGTGTTAATAACAATTCCGAGCTAATTATAGACTTGAGTTTACCAAAAGCCGCGTCACACTCTTTATTCCAGTTCCATGTGCTATGCTTCTGCAGTAGACAATTCAATGGAGCGCGAATATCATGCATCGAGGGAACAAAAGCTGAATAATAACTGATCAAACCGAGAAAAGATCGTAATTCGGAAACATTAGTGGGAGTAGGCATCAGTTTGATAGCTCGGATGTTTTCAGGATCCGGTCTGCGACCGTCGGCATCAAAGATAAATCCCAAATACTTTACCGACTGCAATAGAAACTGGCATTTTTCTGGGCGTAACCGGAAACCATTGTCACTGATGCGTTGTAGTACCAATGTCGTGCGTTCCCGTAGCTGTTTTAACGTCTTCGCAACAATCAAGATATCATCGAGATAAGCTGCAACCCCTGGGATATCTGACAGGATTGTATCCATTAGTTGTTGGAAGATAGACGGCGCAGTCTTAACTCCAAAAGGTAGACGGTTATATTGAAACAAACCGCGATGAGTGTTGATAGTAAGCAGCTCTTTAGATGCTTCATCGACTTCCACTTGCAAATAAGCATCAGCTAGGTCAAGCTTTGCGAAGAACTTTCCTCCATTCAGCATAGTGAACAGATCTGCTGGAACTGGCAGAGGATAATGATGCTGTTCTAGAGCTGCGTTGAGACCTGTAGAGAAGTCAGCACATATACGTATCGTTCCGTTGGCCTTCTTGATAACGACTATAGGTGCTGCCCAACTGGAGTAAGAAACGGGAGTAATAACTCCTTGTCGTTGAAGGCGATCCAGCTCTTCATCTACTGTTGCTAATGTAGCATACGGTACAGGTCTCTTTGGACGAAAAGTAGGCTTAGCCCCATGTTTCAACCGAAGTGTTGCTTTCATAGCAGTGCACCGACCTAATCCAGGTTCAAAAA